GGAGGGGGTGAAGGGCACATAGGTAATGGGGAAAAAATAAGAACCAAGATACATCACGTACAGGTACAAGCACCCAATGATAAATGTAAATGAATTGTATACCTAAAATGTACCAATGAAAGAACTTAGAAAAAAACCCATAAAACTGATAGTAGAGAGTTTTTGGATGTGGTGTGCATAAATCTGCCTTTGATCAGACTTTAACTTAAAATTCCATCATTTCCCTTCAGACCAACCACCCTGCTGCTTCTATACTGAATATTCAGGGGACTATGAATCCCTACGCTTGGGAGAGAGCTGGAGCCCCTAGTTAAGTTTCTTCAAGAGCCAGTGCAGGTTTCAGATTTAGCTATACAAATACAATGTGACTTCAGAACACAGTGGAGATAAGTGTTGCACTGAAAGTTTCTCTGAACATTGTAGTCTCATCTCTTGCCCAGAAAGAACATACTTAATAGAAATAAATAAAGTCAACATTATTTCTTCTTTCTTTGTCATTTGCCATCTGTGAAAACAGTCCCAGAGACTATGTTCATATTTAATAAATATCAATAGATGACAATTCATTTATAAGTCTACCTTTTAAAAGGATATTTTAAAATACCATGTACTTACATGCTCTTATAAGAAAATATCTTTAGTTTTCAGCCTCTGAAAGAACAAAATCAAAACTTCTTGAGCAAGTTAACTGGCTGGAGGAAAAACTAGAAGCTGTGGATCTTAAGGAAGCCAATAGGGAACCATATGAAAAAATAGTTCTCATGAAAGACCAGGTATGTTTTGGAAGAAAAATAATCTTTCTTTTAAAAGTTACTTAACCGTGTATGAATTGACAATTCTACAAAGCCATTTCTGACCATCCTGAAAGTTCGTATTCAAGGTCATGATGGTAAATACCAATATCTGTATTTTCTAAAAGTAATTTTATTCCCTGATAAATATTGGCATAAAATAAATCTGTTACTTATATTTTTAAAATATGGTATGTATCCTTTTGAATAATTTAAGTTGTATGTTCTACTTTATAAATGATATTGGCTATACAAATGTTTCTCAGATTTAAAGCTGAGATTAATCAAGGAATAATTTCTGTGTAGTAAAACAAGTAGATCATAAAAATTTGGCATATGTCTTCAATCAATTACTTTATAAGAAATAATCTCTGAATCTCTGGATATTTTATATGTACCATGATATAAACTTACTTCTGATTCAACCCAAAGGTTTTGTATCAGCTTTTGAAATATACAGATATGTTTTTATACTCAAGTGTGTGCGTGGGTGTGTGTGTGTGTGTGTGTGAGAGAGAGAGAGAGAGAGAGAGAGACAGAGAGAGAGAGAGAAGGTATATTAACATTATCGTTAGCACATCACATTATCATTATTTTCCCCAAGCATTTCCTAGTTCTTAATATACTTGTGTGTTTGCCCTCAGGCTCTTCCTCAGAGCAGAAGAGGAAGAAGGGTGGGAAAAGATGATCTCTCCAATGATGCTTTCCAAAACATCTAGTTGAGATAATAATTCTACCATTCACTGTGCCACACATACTGTCATTTATAAGATTTGATAACTGATATATATTCAGATATAGAATTCTTTGAATATGTAAATGAAAGAGTTATGCACTTGATTTTTAAACTTTTTTCATTTTCAGTACATTGAGAAGCTTCAAGCTGAAATAAAGTCTTCCCAGAAACAACTTAAAATCCATGTAAGCGTTTTTCTTCTTTTTTAATCCCTTTATTTATATAATCGTCATCCTGAAAAATAAATAGACATTTTCCAGAAGTTAAAAATGAGTGGGTTTTGCTGCAAAACAAACCACAAAGCTAAAAAAATCAGGATTTTCCTGCCTCTACCGAGTGGGACTTCATTCATAAAGTTTTCATTTTTGCTGATGATAAAGATGACAAACTGAACTCGTATAAAATCAGATGGTTGAGTTGAGCCTATCCTGATGGCCTATCAGAATAAAAGAAAGGGAAAGTAAGGGTGGTGAACGATACCAGGTTAGTTTAGTGAGTAGATGAAGCAGCGCATTGTGGCAATTATGGGCACATCAGATACAGGTCTAAATCTTCAGCATATGTAAAAATCACATAGAAAACCTTTTATAACTTGGTCAGAGATCTTGTTTCCTGGATATCTAGGATGGAATCTGAGAATTTGCACATGCAGGTGATTTTAGAGTTAAGTGAGGCCAATAGGTCATGCTTTGGGCAGCATGTTTTACATATATATGTATTTCCTCCCCAGACTTGTAATTTTTAGGCAAGTGGCCACTTACACCAATCAGAGTACATAGTTGTCCATTTTCTCCTGTAAGTAAGTACTCACTTGAGTGAAATATCATGAATTTCCAGGGCAAATTTCATTCATACTGTAGTCTCTGGACTAATGAATATTACCTGCCACAATACCTTTGTATATTCAGTCATAAACCAGTGACTACCTAAGAATGTGAACAACTCTAGTGCTTTAATGATGTTGTCTGCGAAGACTTGCTTGCCATTCTTTTCATCATTTCCTCTATTTTGTCTGCTGTTATGATTTCTTGATTAAAGACCCTTGCCAGTCATGTTAAATGGCCAATCTTAACATTACCAAGTTCTTCACACAGCTCTCATGAAATCCTAGAGTATAGAAAACTTGCAAAAGAGAAAAAGAGAAAAAAAAATGCAATACGGGGGTGGGGGGGAGACTGCAGAATAATAAATTTTGATGATATCCCCTTAAGAGTTTGAAATGAATCTATGAACTGTTCTAGGTAAAAATCACAGTAATTGCCCTATTTTTGTCCTAGATGAGAGAAAAGCTGATCTATCATGACAATTAGCAGAGCTTTTAACTCTAAATTCAAAATCTTTTGGGGCCTTGTATGTTTACTTGACCAATACTGAAAATAATTTATGCCTGCATTTGTGCCATTGTGACATATTCTAACAGAAGTATGCCTCATTAGCCCAAAATCCTGTTGCAGGTGTCTCTTCCCTGGCCTGCCCCTGACAATGCCATGACATAATGTTATCAGAAAAAGCTCCCTTATGACAAATTGTTACCTACAGCCATATGTATGGAGGAAGGTTTTAGCTCAGCATTTTCGAAGGAGAACAGATATAATCACTGGGGTTTTGACATTATCTCCAGCATCTCTTCATGAAAAAAATACTTTCACTGGTGCCTTAGGGAGATTCCTGTAGTATTTTTCTCCATTGCCTAGTTTTATGGATTCTCTGCTTCTACCAGAGCTACTGTTCCAGGCTTGTCTGAACTGGGATCACTTCCTTATATGGAGTATTGTGATTTCTCATATATAATTGTCCAACATTCAACTTTCAATATAGCAGTGTATTTATAAAGGTTTTGCTTCAATTCAGCAAGAAAAAATTAAAATGAAAGCAATATTAAGAATAGTATTACAGAGTGAAGCTTAGCCGGTCCCAGCACCCAGAAGGAAGCTCCCCGCCTCCATCCCAGGCTCCTAGGGCAGTGAAGCTCAGCTGGTCCCAGCACCCAGAAGGAAGCTCCCCGCCTCCATCCCAGGCTCCTAGGGCAGTGAAGCTCAGCTGGTTCCAGCACCCAGAAGGAAGCTCCCCCGCTGCCATCCCAAGCTCCTAGGGCAGAGAAGGTGAGCC